GCTATTACCAAAATCAAAGTTAGTATAGTTTTCAACCAAATATGAAATTTTAACCAACTAATTCACCACATTCAAACTTTTTTAGATTTGAATGAAAAGGATATTCGGCACCACCGCTAACTTTAGGCACAGTTTGTGCTCTACAAAGTATTTCCTTGTCTTAATAATTTCGCAAGCAATTTCCACTAGAATAAGTCACAATCTGTCATGCTTTATGCAAATATAATTGGCATAAAGTCATTTTACTTAATTCCATAGGATTAAATAAGACTATTAACATTAACCCAAATTAATATGAATTCAACGAGACATGAAATCAAACAATTAGTTGGCATTCTCACAATATTATTATTCCATGCGTATGAACCATACTGTTCCCATATTGTACTTATAGCATGCATTAATCTATATTTCTTTTGATGAGTTCATATTTCTTTCGCAAATTCATATAATCGAATACAAGGAAAGAGACACGAAAGTAACCACATGTAATTTTCCATTTTCTATAGAGAAAATTGTTATGAGAGTTCACACAGTTTCTTTTATATTCACATACTTTCTTTCAATAAATTCTTACACATTAGAATTTTCCCATATGTAACATATGCAATATCATGCATTTTATTGCAATAGTATAGTATGCACATCAAGGTTTCAACCATTTAACAATATGGGTGCCAAAATTATACATCTCAAGTGAAAGAACATAAATTTCCTTCATGCATATTCAAAATAGAGTAAACATTTGCATACACCAATTAGTGAATATCAAATAAATTCACGACTCAAATATTCTTATATATTTTTAGCATGTTCCCATAGCCACCATGACAAAATGTTCCATCAAATGATTGTGGATTAACAATTTAAGAAAACCAATTGTTTCTTTCAAAACATAATTTCATGGTAGTAGACCCATGTAATTTATGCATACTTCATCAAAAGACATAGTGTTATCATGGTTTTGATTAATCGATTTCAGTCTCAACTTGAAACTACAAAGGGAATACCACATTGCTTAACAATATTCAACATGTCTTTCATACTCAACATCTAGTAAATCAGCGAAGTAGATCATAGATCACATAATCAATTCTCATGCCGTAATATTTAATAAATTGACCCTAGAATATCTCATAATATTCTACACGATTTTCACAAATGAGGGGCTTAATGAATAAAGATTTCAACTTCAACATAATCACATAATTCTTTCAAAAATTTTACATCGATACCAACACCTAATAATCTTTCATTAGCCTCTATTATCACCATAAATTGCATATAAGATCAAAATCAATAAATAAAGCATATTCTAAGTATCATAAATGCTTTAATCCATCAAATATATCAGAAAAAGAATTTATATAACTATGCAATTCATAATTGTGAATACAATATTCATATCCTTCATCTAATAGGAAGTTTTAGATGATCATGAAAATTCATATTCAAATTCATTAAATGTATATAAAACATACCTTACAAATGAATATGCAATGTTAATTTTCATGCAACAACATGATTTCCATATTTCCACTTTCACAAACACATGCAACAAATTATGCACAACCGAAATTAAATTCATGGAGAATATCATCATTGATAATGTGCATATATTTTAACAAAACATCTAAATTGCATGTGAGAAGATCATTATATCACTTACCAAAGTGAAATTTTAGAAGATAAATGAATATTACCGGAATTGAATTCATGATGATGGATTCTATCCTTTTATTCTTCAATGAAATCATTTCTTTTCAACCTTTCCAAATTTCTTTCGCCAAAGAAATGTTGATTTCGATAGCATCGCCAAATCCGGAATTAGAATGGAGGAGATCTTCAATTCCGTCATCATCAGAAACTTCAATTTGTACTAGCCTTCACATGAATTTCGCCCATCAAATATCTAACCAAGAACTGGATTTCATCAACTTGATCTTGCCAAAGTGATATTGTTCTCCATCACAAGATATAGTTTGAGATTGTTGAAAAATTTACCTCAACTAGGGAAAATGGAGAAGGAACAAACAACTAGAAATATGATCAAAAAGATGAAGAACATAACGAATATGAAGGCTCGAATAATTGTTGTTCTCAAACTATATTTGCCCCCTCTCGGGATTGAATGAGATGCTGAAGGGTTTTGACAAATGGTTTGTAGGATTATATCAAGCCTTGTAAAAGATTTAACACCAAAGCACAAGTGCAATCCTCCAAAAATTTAAGAACACGAAGGAAGATATTAAATATGAATGTAAATCAATAATTTGATTCAATATGAATGATATATGGATTTCAAGATGTTTTCAATGATTCCAATATGTTTGTACTGATCATTCATCACTAATTTATAGGCCTCAATCGATACATCACGAAATGGTACCAAAACAAGATGAAAAGTAGCAACTTTTAATCCAAAACGGCCCCCAAGTTTCAAATTGAAAAACCAGCCAACGACTATTTTTTAACACTATGCTTACGCATAGTATAAACCTTGTGTACGCATAGTAGAAGAAAATTTTAATTCTAATTTTGTCAAAACACATCTCGTGTACATACAAAAATAAGCATGTGCGTACGCATAGGCAAAAAAATCAAATTTTGTATTTTTCAATTTCTTTTGATTCTACTAATTCCACAATTGAGCCCAACAATTAGTCTATTATTATTTCATTGATTTTGAACAAATATTCAACAAACAATGCAAAAGCACTGCTATTGCATCGATTATGTTGGCACTAGATAATTGTAGTGGCACACAACATGGCGATGATAGCGTCTGTTGCAGTTGCAAATCTCGTGCAACATCATGCTGTGTAGCTATTGCGCAACGCCATATGAACAATCAATGTTTGTTTGTTATAACATGATAAACAATTTCTAACAAGTATAAAGTAGGCTCTAATGCCACTATTGAAAATTTATTTAACATGCACAGTGGAATTTAAACAATATTTCAATTCAAACTAAGAATATTCTTAGTGTTTAGAGAAAAAGTGTGATAAAGAACTATACCTTCAATTAGTTCTTTTAAGAACAATTCAAAGAATTTAGTTATTAGCTTAACTAAACAAAATGTAGATTATAATCTCTAGCTATACCAAAGTGATTATAATCTCTTGCTATCGGGAATGACATATATGTATTGACATGGTAATTGAAATGTTACGACTACACTTGACAGATCCCAAGAGATTTAGGGTCGCTAGAGAATCTTCATTGGGAAGAAGGCATGTGAGCTTCAGGAGCAAAACCCCAATTCTACTTTGGATTGTGAGTACTTTCTTGGTTACAAATTTAACATTGAACTAATTAGAATTGGCGTTTGGGAGGGGAGGGGGTTAACAAAGTTATCGTACAGATTGTCTCTTGCAAGCCTCTTGTAAATGTAGCTGAATTAAGCCCTCAAACTCATTTTCTGTCATACAATTCATGAGATCTACAACTTTTATTAACTTTTTAATCATATATTTTATGATACTAAAAATCTAATTTGTAACTAAACTAAACAGGGGCTAAATCTCTAGACTCAATTTGATAACTTTATGTAATAAACTTATAGAGTTTCGATGCCAAATCCTAACTCAATAAAAAAATTGCTGTTTTTGGTATAAAAGAAAAAAAAAGTATATATATAAAAATAAGGCATGGAATGAAGATGATTGATGAAATATTGATAGGAATAACTTTTTAATGGGGTTATATTGACACCACTTTTTAATTTCATTAAAGTCCTTAATTTTGTTTATTGTTGTACTTATGTCTCCAATTTTTTTCTGTTGCATTTTTGTCCTCTGTTTTGTATTAGTTAGAACATCTGGTGGTCTCTGGTAATGGTTTATCCAAATATTTTGTTAGTGTACTTTGAATGAGAAATAAATATATTGTCACATTTTTGTATTTGTAGCACTTTTTGCTCACATGAAAATATAAGGGTCAAATAAATCCCTTTACTCATAGCCTTCATATAATTTTTTACATAGTCGGATGATACCATAGTAGTCACTCTTGGTAGAGTAACATCCAACATCATCAAAATATTACCATCCTCATATAATGCACTATGGTGACCTCAAGTTGAAGAATCGATTCCTCCAACGAACGTCAGAATTTTACCATTGACACTCAGACAACTATCCATTTGGAATCTCTCCAGCAAATATCCAATATTTTATTTTCTTAACAAAACATTCACGTGTCCATTTAAATGTCCTCGTATTTTAGCTTGTAAGATCAGTTGCCCACTTCACTATTGAGAAATGCCACACAGTTGATCTATTCGTAATAAAGATTTCCGTATCTCATTATCACTTACGATCAAAGATAATTTAAGATTCAGTTATATGTAAATTGTTTCTCATTATCACAACTTCTTATGATTGACAAGTTATCAAGATTTAAATATATGAACTCTATTAGTTTTATATATTAGAAAATAAATTCAATTAAATAATGAATTAATCTATGTATACAAAAAAAAAAAAAAAAAAAAAAAAACCTTTACAGATTCTATATAGGGAGATTTTTTTTTTGTAAATGTAGCAAGGTTGTTAAATAATAGATCTTGCCAAAATATAAAAACACATTTATTATATTAAAAATGTTTACAGCCTACTTAGAGCATAACACTTACAATTAAAGACATTCTCGTAGTTCGAGATCAGTTTCATCCTCTTGCTTGGTTCGAGAGTTTTTACCCATTTGGGTTTCTTCATCAACAATTCTTGTTTTCTTTATTGTTTTCATATTACAAATGTGGCAATTCAATATAGGATAAATTAACTTAATTGACTAAATATCTACAACAATTAATAAGTGATTTGTTGCTATTAATTGTTAATTTTAATTCCGTTGTTTTCACCTATTCACCGCTCTTTAGGGGCGAACTAGTAACTTTCAAATGCTATCAGAGCTTTTCAAAAAACATTCTCGTAGTTTGAGATCAGTTTCATCCCATTGCTCAGTGTGTTTTCTAATGTTAACCTTAATTATTATTGGTAACTAAATACTAATACAAAAAACATATATAAATGTTAAAATAACATCCAGAAGTCAGGCTTAAAACCTTTGGACAAAGGCATGCACAATTGAAACAGTTTCAGACAACCTAATTAAGCTTACAAATTTTAACTAAGGTTTTCTTCGAAGAAACCAAATTAAGCAGCGACAGAGGTCATTTATTTATATGTTATATATTAGGAGCATCAGGCAATGCTACTAGAAACGATCCTGCAAATTCGGCTGCATTGGCTGCACACGAAAGGCAAAAGGCATTTGTGATTCGTAGTCTCCAACTCCCTGTTGATGATAAACATCCCCATTTTCTAACCCATTTTGATCATCCATCGGATCCAAATGCATCTGCCGCTATAAATCATTGGAATTAATTAGACATGCGGGTTTTGCTGAACTTGAATGGAGACATGAGTTAATTGTTTCAACGGTTACTGAACTTAAGTCCATGTCTTTAACTGGCCACAAAACTTTAAAATGTCGAGTTTGGTTGCTGAACTTAGGTTCATTTCTTTGATTGACCACTGAACTTTAAAATGTCGAGTTTTGGCTACTGAACTTTGAAAAATGTCGAGTTTTGTCCACTGAACTTAGGTTTATGTCTTCTATTGCTCACTGAAATTTAAAATGTCGAGTTTTGACCACTGAACTTTGAAAAATGTTGTACATTACTCACTGAACTTTGAAAAATATTGTATATTACTCACTGAATTTTGAAAAATATTGTACATTATTCACTGTGAACTCAATATTTTTCAAAGTTCAATAATTATGCTAGTGAGTAGCATACGTCATATTCCAAAGTTCAATGGCCAAAACTCGACATTTTAAATTTTAGCGAGCAATCGAATACATGGACTTAAATTTAGTGACCAAAACTCGACATTTTAAAATTCAGTGACCAATCAAAGATATGGACCTAAGTTCAATACCAAAACTCGACATTTTAAAGTTCAGTGGTCAATCAAGGAGATGGATCTAAGTTCAGTGACCATTGGAACAATTAACTCAATGGACGTATTCATTTATATATATAGTGCACAAGTGATAATTTAACAAAGAGTAATGATATTCGTAATGGATCACTACGATAGTCGCACTATGTGGCATATTGACTCATGCATCAAATAATCACATGTCGTGTGTATGCCATTAGAGTGACTACCATAGCGAGCGATTGCGAGTAGCATCATTCTTTAACAAATTATCACTTTTTATTATTATTTTCTACTTTGATTAACAAAAGATTATATATCTTATGTACAAAAATTAGGATCTTAAGGTAACTTAGCCTTCTAGGTACTAATTAAATTAACCAAATGATACAATATTCCATGCTTGTTGTGTATATAGCAAAGAGAAAAAGACTTACCAGCTTGAATTGGAGCCCCTGGTTCTCGTCCTCAAGCATTTCATTCTGATACGATGTTCGCCAGAAGAACATATATGAGCAAATAAACATTTGAATGTAAATATAAAGCATAAGTAACAATGTAGTACATAGTATTGAATAATTGAAAAATAAATGATTATCAGCAGTTAGCACTACATGTTTTCTCATCATCGGTACAAACTCCATCTGTCAAAAAAGGGGAAAAAAAGAAAAAGAAAAAGAAAAAAGGTCAAGTATCAGATTGTTACTTGATTATACGAAGATCACATGAATCGAAAAGCAGCTGGGATAAAAATTTGAAAAAATTATAATAATAATAAATAAATAAATAAAAGAAGTAAGAAATATAAAGGGATTTTGCCTGTTTGGCTTTGAGACTTGATATCCCATTTTCAAGAGCTTCCTCTAAAACCATCAGTTCTTTGTAGTTCGAAGTTGTTATGTCCTCTCCACTCAGATGCCTGAAATTGACAAGCTACATATAAGAAGACATGAAGGTATTGTTGCTAGAAAACTTCTTAAAATTTTAGTATTTCCATTTCGACAATTGAAAACTCTTCAAGATTCTAGAAAATGTTTTTAACCCAAAGCACGTCCTACTTCTGTTAGAAATAGCGTTTCTACTCGTTGTTTCATGTCATGTTCCGTTTTGGTTCAAATTAGTGTGTGTGTGTGTGTGTGTGTGTGTGTTTGTCGAGAGAAAAGAGTAATCTAACCTGAGTTCAGTCTGCATCCTATCATTCTCTTTCTTGATTCTGTTGATCTCATTGTCCAAATGCTGTTACAGTTCAACGCTTGTTAGAACAATCAAACATAAAGGATATTGTACAGATCTACAATTTTGATTGACAACCCTAAGCATTCTGGGGTGCCCTAGAGCCAAAACTTTTTGACAACCCCAGATCAGACTTAGAACCACCAGGTCAACAAGAAGTTTCAGATTATTTTTGGACAAAAAGGGCTTATAATCACTGGATCTCTTAAGGGATATCAAAACATAAGTTTTCTTTTTATGTTTGATATATTACAAGTGCTTTCCTGAATTTCGCAAGAAAAAAGGAAGAGAGAGAGAGAGAGAGAGAGATATTTTACCAGATCCGTCCGTGGATGTAACGCCTGATGCATTTTTTTTTTTCTCTGCTCATTTAAAAAAATGAAAAATGCTAGAACACTAGGGATTTGAGGGAAGAGGGATATATAGATCTAGAGAGAGAAAAGTTCATACTATATTTAGATCTTCCAAGAAATTCATATTAGCACAAAACCATGTTATTTTCCCACAGCTCCACCCAAGAAATCATGGATGCTAGGGCTATATGATGTTCATATTCTCTCTCACACACACAAAAACACACATATATAGATATAGAGAGATAACCTCATGCTTAGCATCCCAGAGCTTCTTCCCAGAGAGTTTATGGTACTGATCCAGCAAGTCAATTAACCTTCAAATGAAAGAGGAAAAAACAATAGAGAAAACCTAGATATTTAACTATCAATCACACAAAATAAAATGAATGAAGAAACATATAAAGACATACGTAGTAGAAGGGCTACAGAAATCGTGCATCTTGCCAGAATTATTAAAGATGATAACAGAAACTTGAGCATCACAAAGAACACTTATTTCCTTAGCCTTTTTCATAATCCCACTTCTCCTTTTTGAGTATGTAACTTGTCTATTGCTTGAGTTCTCTATCCTCTTGATCTCAATCTTTCCTCTCCCCATTTTCTCCGCTCTCCAACTCTCTCTCTCTCCCTCTCCCTCTAGATCTCTTCTCTTATTGATATTCTTTAGGGAACTATTTAAGAAATGATAATTGAGGCTAGGGGTTTGTGGGTGGAGGTGGGGTGGGTAAGTAATGGTATTTTCCATTGTAGGTTTAGAGACAAGAGACTTTCAAAAGCTTCAGCAAAGTTGGCTCGTTTATGGGCTATTGCCAACTGTTAAAAATCTGCTGTTTAATTTATGTTTTACTATCTTGTTCCACCTTGTTAACCTTTGGTCCATCTATCCTTGTAAATTAGTGCATATACTATTACCTAACAACAGATACACAAAATTGGCATATTGATTGTGTGTATAGATGCAAGTTACTAGGCTATTACAGTAATCTTGATTTAGGGTTTTACTAAGGAGAGACAAATCAAGAACCAAAAGACATTGAAAGATCTCGTGGAGGATTAGGAGCATTGGAGTTTGTGTACGGAGTCCAGGATTTATAACATGATTAGTCATAAGATGATTTCTTAATTAAAACCTTAACCATCAAATCAAATGAAATCAACCCTCAAATGTTGATGGTCAGAATAGAATGACTGATGATGGAAAATTATTACATTTGGTCAAAATGTAAGATGGGACAGGAAAGTGTTTTCTCGAGGGTCTCCAGCCAGTAAGTCCCAAAGCAAGGATTTTTCTAGGTTTTTTGTCTACCTTATGATTTCATTATATAAGGAGCTTGTGAAAATTTCAAGAAAGTTGTGTTCATGAAATTCTAAATAATTATACAAGAAACATAACTTTTTAAATTTAATAACGAAAATTGTTGTGTAGAAAAATATCTAGACAACATTTTTAACAAAACAATCAAGAAAGTTACTTTCTATGGAAAAATATTCTGCTATTATAATTTATACTTATTTTTATACATAAGCCACTCCAAACATTTAAGCATCGAGAAAAGCCATATTGGATTAGGGTTTCCTTTTCTTCTGGAGTCTAAAAGTAGTGTTCTAAAAAGCGTACAACATGGTCAAATGTGGAAGCCAAACTTCAAACTTTATGAGCCTGGGCAAACTTAGACGAGGCCTATGCATAAAAAAATAAAGTTTCTTATCTTAAAATTATTTTAATTTTTTAATCATTTTAAAAATTATTGTTGTAAATATAGTAATATTTATGAATGACTTTTATACCACTGCAGTTTTAGTTATTATAACTGTTGTATCCTTCTAACCATAATTCTTCCATATAAATATAGGATTTTGATTCTTAATAAAACATACAAGTTTATTTGATTTTTCTCTATTTTCTTCTCTTTTCTCTCTATTTTATAACACATTATCAGTATAAAAGTTCTAGCCAATTAAATTAGCAAAATTTATTCTTCTTTCTACTCTTGAATCTCTAACCATATAGAGGTAAGCAAAGTAATTTCTTGTGAGGAAAAAGAGAAGGCGACATTACTTTTTGTGTGCTCCCTATATATATATGTATTCATAATCATTTCGCATGTACCGTCATATATATTTTGGTGACGAGTATGACTGCATATTAATCAGTTAGATAATTTATTTGATGTTGATTATTTATTAAATTGATGTTCGTCATCCGTAAGTTTAATTTGATTACTTGATTGATGTTCGTCATGTGTTCCTAAATGAAAACATATAACCATGTCATATTGACATTGATTAATTTGATTACTTGATTGATTATTATCTGATTATATAATATTTAATCGTATTTTTGTAATTAAATAATTGAATTATATTTGATATTGAACTAGAAATTTAATTTGATCTTATTGTTTGGCATAATCAGTTGGACGATCACTGGATCCATAATGATGTGAAATTAAAGAAAAAACAAACATATTTTCAATGAATAACCAGAAAAATTTTGAATCCTCTATATCTTTCATGAAAATTTTTCATTAATCATTACTAGCTATGATAGGTACTGAATTTCCTCTATTTCTTAAAAATAATCAGGTGATAAATGGAGCCCTCATCATCTTCCATGTTGACCATCTAAATATTATTTTTATCTAATTAATTTGATACAAATACCAGATGATTGCATGGTGTTCATAACCTTAGGTTTGCGAAATTACTGTTCAAATATTAAATTATGAACATAATTTTCAGATTATATAATCAAGACAGTGTATTTTGTTAATACTAATGATCCTAAATCTCAACATTTTAATAAGTGTTAGTTAAGATATTGATAAATGGTTTGATACTATTGTTTGTTAAATGCCTCTGATTAATTTAATTGATAACAAAATACTTTCATTTCTATTTAGAAAATGCTATTAAGCATCATACCAATATCACTGTTTTCCCTATTATAATTGACTTAGGATCCGAGCCAAATTTATTCATTTAATTATTTTAATAGTACAGTATATGTAAAATTGATTAACCACAATGCACTGAGGTGAAAAGTAAAGAATGTTGAGAAAAAAAATACGTAGTTTTAGCCCTTATCTCAAATGAGTGGTATTCGATAATGCAATTTACTGATTGTCAATTTTGATTGGACCATTCTCCTAGCATTAAGGGGGAATTAAGAAGTTTGAAATAATATACAAATGCATTATTATATAAATCCCCATAAAAGATAATTTGAACTAGAAGTTGGAAATATAATTTATTTAGATGCATATACTGACCTATGAGACCAACAATATCTAATGCACTAATTTTAAATGCTCCAACACGAATTGATGTCCTAGTAGTTGTTAATATTATTTTTGATATATTGATGACACACCTAAAGCGTGATGATATTTGATTTTAATATAAAAATTTCGAAACAAAAATGGAGTAATTAGCAAATATGTTCCTATTAAAGATGCATATACTCTTAATGAATATTTAGACATAACAAGTTTTAAAATCTCAGAAAAGGTTCAGGTTTTATTTGAAATATCTCAATAAGTTATATCATTATAAAAAATATTATTATCGAAAAAAAAATGTTGACAACACCTTCGCACATAATGTACTGCATCACATAATGTAGGATCGAAATACATGTATCAAAATATACCGATCGAAGTAATGATTAGCCAAATAAAAAGGATGCAATCTTAAATTGAATTTATTAACGAAATCGAAAATTTCTAGACCTGCAGTTCGAAAAATCTAAAAGTATATACTTATGTGAAAAGGAAGTGAGAAAAATGAAGTTTTAATATGTAATGCACGACTCTTAACATAGTGAATTTTGCAAATATCATGGTTGATTAAATCGTGAGGCCTTCTGGATTTTATTGACAATGCTTTAACAAGACGGCAATTTACTACTCAAAATTATTATTTTTAATTTGTTGGCATTTTTGTCCCGTTGGATTTTTTTTTCCAAATAATGTTTTAATAAGATAGTTATTGTATAAATAGTCATTTAAGGGGAAGTGTTGTAAATATAGTAACACTTATGAGTGACTTTTATACCCTTGCAGCTCTAGTCATTACGAATGTTGTATCCCTTCTAATCCTAATTTTTCTTTATGAATATAAGACTTTGGTTCTCAATAAAAGACACATTTATTGACTGATCTCTATTTTATTCTCTTTTCTCTCTATTTTATAGCAAATCATATATACCAAATGTCTAAAATTATAAAATAATATATTTAATTAATAGTTCCTACAATTAGTCAATTAGATAATTATCAAGTTTTCGAAATGGAAAAATTAAATTACTTTTCATATTTTCAGCTTTCAACTAGACATGTCCTACTTAAAATTTTTTAGTGTGTCTTCATTTTTGACTTTTTTACAGATAAAGTCATTTAAAAACTTGAAACTAAAATTGAATAAAAGGCCTTTTAAAAAAATAAAGTTAATAAAGCACCACTTAGCGCTCATTGCCAAGGCATGACTTTTTGCCCAAGCCTTACGCCAGACTCCTCTTAGACGAAATTTTTTAGAACACTGTTCAAAAGTAGCATCCATTATTTAAATAACATAAAAGGCGTTAACATTTTGTTGTCCAGTTCTTTTCCCAATTTTCTGGTCTACATTTTAGTTCCCAGATTACTCCAATTGCCAAAAATCATTAGAGAAGTTTATTGAGACCCCCACAAAAAAAAAAACAAAAACAGTAGAAGAAGGAAAAAAAGGGTTAATTTCCCAAATTAATGAACAATTAACTATGACTATTTAGAATAACAGTTTGATTGCATGAATTTCCATTGCTCAGAATAAGTTCTCTGCATAATCCACTAGAACGGATGCTTAAAGGCAAGTTGATCCGTTAACCATTGCAGATTCCTTTTAATTATGGCATGTTTGCTGAAATGCTTTTCATTGAATCCACATAAGAAATGAAAATCTTATTTATTCTACGATCCAACTTATACATCTAATCCATCCAATACTGTCACAATGATATATCCTTACAAACCCACAACATAATAAAATCAAAAGCAACTCAACAGTATCCTTACAAGAACCACATATATCAAACACACGACAGGTACATATACATAAAAACATTTACAGCATTGTACATTTCCTATGTAATCCAACAGGACTTCAATTTATGATTTGCAGAGATTTTCAACACCAAAAGAATAAAGAAATGCCAACTTCTGGAAAACGAACTCATTCTCTGATCAACAGTTCATAGACATTAATATTATTTTCGTCGTTTAGGTGTTTCAACATTTCAAAACTTTTACGACTCTGACTTCCCAGAAAATCAATTCGCTTGAATTCAATATACCCAAGCTCTGCAGTCTCTATGCTGGAGTAAGCCAACCGAAGCCTGTCAGCCTGTCCTGAATCTGTGTGGATAGCTACTTCTATTTCATCAGCCGACATATTCTCCTATGAGATTGAATCATAAAACCAATAAGAACAATGCATCTTAATTTCTCCTATGTGTTTCCTTGCAGAAACACAGATGTAAATTACCCAATCAAACATATCCAAATATTCCAACTCAACTTCTCAAATTGAATATTTGCACTCAATAAATTTTAAGAACGGGTTTATGGCCATATTTGGCTACTATCGTTAAAGTATATACTTATGGTACCATCACAGCTCACTCCCTAGTGATGCATACATCAAAGCCACCTGGAAAGATGTTAGCAGTTGTGAAATCATTAAAACAATATTTGTCATTGAGTTATTTGGTACACTATATCCTCCCAGCCACAGCAATAAGTCAAATACCTGGTAAAATACATGGATATGATCCAACACTTGCAAACACGTGAAGCCTTTGTCACTGAAAAATGTCCTTGAACGAGGGCCCGGCTCCAAAAATCGATCAACTGGAAACAGTATAGTTAGGAAGTGGCTATTGAATATTAACTCTGACTTGTTGAGGTATAAGAACCTTTTTACCTGCATATAGCAATTCCAGCGCTTTTTGACACCATCTTTAGCAAGGTTTGCAATCTTTTGCCTATCTACATGGCTTATATTAGTAATAGAACGAGGTACAGTGCCAGGATCAGTATTACCATTGACTACCTAATCCATAAGGATCATTCAACAGATAAAACACAAAGATCTGAATACCAATCTGCCATTTTGGGGCCAGCTTGTCCGATATATAACCTCCAAAATAACCAATTAAGTGCAAGAACTAACTCTTAATTAGTAATCCGATCTATCCCAATCAAACACAAATAAACTGCACAGTGAAACTAGTTTTCAGATTAAGCCCTTGTTTGGTCACCATTATTTCCAAAATACATTTATCTCTCTCTAATTTTTAATCATACATTCTTCAAAAAAATAATATTACATGCAAACTCAAAACTTTTCCTTATTTTTTAATCATACATTCTCCAACAAAATACTATTCCAAAATGCGTTTTGAGGAAAAAATGGGGCTCAAACATGCTCTAAAAGAATGATTTTTATAGTTCTTCTAAAACTAATTCCTTATGCCCTCTAACTAGAATGGACATTTCAACAGCTTTAACCGTGATGCAAACCGAATTAATATCATGAATTGAGTTGGCTCCAGATACAACATATTGTAGCAGGAAATAAGAGCAGTCCTTGGTGTAGGCTAACTGAGAAACATCTCAAGTGTTACAATCACTCAAAGAAATGTACATGTAAGAAAAAGGAGAATCTTCACCGACTTCCACCAGTCTATGTTTCATGCATTTCAAATATCCATGGCTTGTAAATGCGAATAAAATTTTGTGTCTGTAAAACTCATAACTTAAGTTGCGGGCTTATCAAGTGTTACAAAGACCTGTTAAGAAATAAAGAGAACAAGAAAGAAAAAGAATTAGTGTTGAAAAACCTGTGTACCTCCTTAAAGATGCCATTTTCGCTAGTGTCTAGCAAAGCTCCAGTTTACCTAGCCAAATCTGCAGATAAACGTACGAGCCTTTGCACACGAATTTCATTTGCAGACTTCAGAACCCATGCTGGCTAAGGCAAGCAAAATATTGGTTTATAGATGACCAAAATATGTACCAGAACAATATATCAGATATTTGAGCAGGTGAACAAAGAATAAAATCATAGGCAGGGAAATATCGTAGTTTGACCTAAATAATACTTAGAGGGGGGTGAATAGGTGTTTATGCAGAATTTTCACTAATTAATTAATAAATGCAACAAGTCACAATTATTAATTAGTCCAGTTCATTTCACATGCTCTACTATCCTATGTTGAACTGTCGAAAATAAGTAAATTGAAAAAAATAAGTAACACAATTAATTGATAACGGAGAAAATCTCTTACGGGATTAAAAATTTCGAGCCCAAGCCAATACAAATTCACTATAAACGAAAATTCAACTTACTATCTGCCACACACAACTAACACAAGTTTTTCTAACCTCCTAACTACAATTTTCCAAAGCCGTCCAGGAATGTGTGCTCTTGCTCTAACTCCCAGCTCCAAGCCCTCCTGTGTTGCGTGCTCTTACACCAATTCCCGGCTCTTGATTTTGTCTATCTCCTGTGTATTCCTAGGAACTCCCGATTCTCCAATGATCGGAACTCCAATCTCCTTCCCTCATTTTCAAATCTCAACAAATGCTTTGGAAGAACAAGTTTTGGTGTTTGATGGTAGTGGATTTTATGTTTTTGTGGGAGTGCACCAACAGGATGTGGGATTGAATGAATATATCAAAGTGTACAAGGTTTTCTCCAAATTCAACCATCTAGAAAACGCTAAAAACGATGCACTGGTATTTATATGGGATGTTTTGGGTAGTGTAGGCCGGGTCAAAATCTCGAAAATCAAAAAATAGGGTTTTTCAAGTAGCAATGTCGCTCGATCGAAAAGCAAGTGAAGTAGTGGCGCAAAGCTAGCGAGGGACTCTCTGTTTTTAACACTCGAGAGATCACTTGGCGAGCAGCTAGTGAAACTTCAACGACACTTCTTGCCCTACTTCACAACTCAAACCCTAACATACTTTAACAAAATTGCAACTTAGTCTCCAACTTTTACTCACGTACAAATTGACGCCAAACTCTTGAACAATTATAAATTGACCATTTTGATCATAGAATAGCTAACACAAAATCTAATAGGGAGAGTAGTGTAGATTAAAGGGACAATGTCATCATAAATGTTACAAAAAAAGAGAATTGACAATATGAAAAATAAGAACAAGAACATAAGATTTATAAGGAAACCCAAAACGGGAAAAAACCACGGGCAGAGGAGGTGAATAATTGACTATATCAAAATATGATTCCAAAATTTGGATTGTTTGATGGTTTTAAGAAATGTAATTACTCCTATATATAATACAAAAGAAAAAAAGGAAACCTAACATCTGGTAGAGTCCTAATATAACAGGTCTAACAAATGATAGTGTTTGAGATACAATAGGAATGTAAAAACAGCCAAACTTGCGATTAGGATTTCAGCTAGATAGTCCCACCGCTAGAGTGGCAGGCTCATGTACAGTGAGCGATCCATCCACCATTCGAGTGCCCATAGTGCAACCAGTGAGCGGTCAACTTGCTGAAAAAGACGCTCAAGTGCCACCTGCGCGATTGGTGAGCAGTATTCACGCAATTTCTTCTCCTTATCCGTGAGTTTTTCTATCTTAGGTTTTCACGTAAATCTTATGTTCTTGTACTTATATTTTTGTATTATCAATTCTCATTTTTTTGTAATAATAAATGAGAAATATGAGATTTTACTCTGTTTTGAACATTACACAATCTCTTAAATCTTCATGAATGGCATTGGAACACTTACTGTATACAAGATTACTTGAGTGCCCAAGTTATTTTCGATTAGACTGTCCTTCGCATTCAATATAATTGGTATCACAGCCAGCATACCAATGATCAGCAGAGACAATGTCAGCTACCTATTAAATAGATACACATGTTTGAGAGAATTCCTCGGGTTAACTTGGACAGTTGACTTCAATTTTTTTTATTCTTATTATTTTAATAACAAAACTTCAGGTTTATGACAATATAGCATGTAAGAATTTCACTTGCAACACATTGAAGAAAGTCAGCTATCAAATAAAATAAGCAATAATTTAATATAGTGAGGCGTTTTGAGAACAATATATAGATATTCTACATCTCATTCAAATAAGCAAGGAAGAAAACTCAAGTGCCTTATGAAAATTTTTTACTCTTCCTTACTACATAGCTCTGCTGTGACATCATTATCAACATAAAATGATTGACCAGAAAAGGGTGAAGCTACAGTTCTTTTGGTCTCTCTTTCTGAAAACTGTAATTTTTGTCCAACCAAGCAAGTCAATTTGTCCAACCATCGAGAGAAGATTTCTCACTGTCAGTATTCTAAGCAAGTCCCTTCAAATCATTGCTTCGGGAACCCGTTTCTCCAATATGATTAAAGTTACTCGTTTAACCTCTCTTAAACAAATTAAAAAAACCCACTCAATTGTTTGAAAGTAGAATGTCCCTATTTTGTTCAATTCAAGCTCAAAATATGCCCAATCAGCTCAATTTCAAGCAAAAACTAATAACATTGTGCAAAAAATGGGCTATACGAGGAGAATATGAGACAAGCTACTGTTACAACCATGCTATGCTGCCAGTAAAAGTTTGACACTTTTCGTAGCACCCTCACAATAGGAGGAGAGGGAAATATTTTTTGGCATTTTTTATTCACATGGGTCCCACACTTCGATTCAAGGATTGTGTCAAACTCTGGCAACTCAACTTAATTCCTATTGTTTAAGCCAAATATGCTCTGACAGATATGATATGACAAGTCATCTTAAATCCATTCACTATATCTTCAAGGATAATAGAATGTGATGTATTGCCCCAAGCTCAATAGCAACCAATAAAGATTAGACCTCTTTTTTGCCTCGAAAGTTGATGTTTGTGTGCATAGCACATGGTCCAAATTCCAAGTTTACCAGCTAACGTTAACAAGAAAGAAAGTTATCTGACACAAAAAATTAAATCAATGCTTTTGAGTCCATGGAGTTAAGTATT